CTGTCAAGATGTTTGGGGTTAACATGTGGAACTGTCAACGGCAGCTCCTCATCCACAGGATTGCTCATGAAACATGTTAAAGACTTTCCTGTTACTGACAGTAAACAAACATTACAACATACTGTAGTTATTCCACTGATGGGGACACTGCAATTTCTCTATGGCATATAAACAACAGCAAAACAATCCCACTGTGTCTGCAGCCCACCTCTGTGTAAGTTGTCATCAGGTAAATTACTGGAACATTTACGTACCTCCTGAGTTAAGCTGATCGATTTTGGGTGAGTGAACAATAGAACGTTAGCTGGAAATTTTTATTTCCACCAGTGTGAGACCATCTGTGAATTCAGCAAACTTTATCTGAAAAAAAATGGATGCTGGTGGTGAATAACTGAAGACTTCAGTGTCTCAGTGTTCTATGGGCAATGTCTTTTTCTGCTGTAGACAGGAGGCTAGAGAATTGCCTTCCAGTACTGCATAATTTTTACATGAAATTTGTGTAAAGAAAGCTTTTCTAGTATTTTCTAATGTTTTCTAGTTTATTGTGAAGTGGTCATGTAATGAAAACAAAACTCTTCTTTTAGGATTGGTCAAGTTACACAAAGGCAAGAGAAAATAACTTTATATGAAACGGAAGTTAAAGGCTACTGAAACAGTATTTTTAATGCAATATTTGCATCTTTACCAATTTGGGGCATGGCATTTGTGCATCAGGTAGTTGTCTCACTGCTTTGGTACAGCAAAACCTTGATAGAGAATGTATTCAGATAAGATGTTGCTGGTACCACAGGATCCCAGTAAGTTATTTCTCTTTCAGTCATGGTGTCACTTAAGCCGCACTTTGCTGAGGTGGTATTTGGAAATCATAGCCCATCTTGGTGCCAGGAGGGAGAATTTTGGTTTTATTATGGTATATCATGGTAGTCACACAGGATGTTCATTATGCAAGACAGCTTCTATGGTGTGGTCTAGCTGAGAACAAGAATGCAGAAGGGCAGGAAGGGCTGGTATCAATTCCTTTACATTGAGTACTGAGGTATTTCACACCTCCCCACATCATCTTCCCCACAGTCCATCCCTTTCAGGAAAAAGTTCCAAGGGAATGCTCTGAGGGTGGCTTCAGACAATTTCTCTGGGTCTTGCATCTTTTTCTTGTATGAGGGTACAGTTTAGCCCTCATGAAATCTTTAATTGGGATCATGGATTGTGTTTTATAGCCACTAGAAAGATTTAGAGCATGATTGCAGTCACTCTGTCCTTAAGTGATAATTTCTCAGGAGTTCATGACTGGAGAAAGGCAAGCTATGAGCTAAAATCAGATGTACTACAGACAAAATTACTCTTTAAATGGTAAAAACCCCACTGTTGAGACCACTCTTGGAGTACTATGTCTAGTTGTGGGCTCCTAAGTACAAGAGAGGGACATACTGGTTATGAAGGGCCTCATGAATCTCATCTCATGAAGGGCCTCAAAGATGAGCAAGGGACTGCAGTATGTCTCCTGTGAGGAAAGGCTGAGAGAGCTGAGACTTAAACCTAGGGGAGAGCTCAGGGAAGAATCTCGTCGGTGTGGACAAACACCTGAAGGGAAGGTGCAAAGAAGATGGGCCAAGTGCTTTTCAGTGGTGCCCAGTGACAAGACCAGAGGCAATGGGCACAAACTGGAGCACAGGAGGTTCCCTCTGAAGGGCAGAAAACACTTTTTTTACTGTGACTGAGCACTGATGCAGGTGCCTGGGGGGGCTATAGAGTCTCTGTCCTTGGAGATATTTAAAAACCATCTGGACGTGATCCTGGGCATGCGGCTCTCAGTGACCTTGCTTGAGCAGGGAGAATTGGATCGGATGATCTCCACAGGTGCCTTCTAACCTCAACAATTCTGTGATTATGTGAAAGAACAAATAAATAACAATATGCTGCCTCGATTTGAAAGCTAGATGATGTGCAGAAGACAATTGTTTCTGCAGCCTAACACCTTTGCTGTCAATGCTTTTAAAGAGAGACTGCAGTAGGAGTCAGGAAAGGCATTACCCATGGCCTGGTGAATGTAAAAAAGGTGACATTAAGGATCTAGTTTTATAGTTTCTTTCATTCTATCAGTTTGAAAAGAAGTCTGATTTAAATTATTGCATTAGATGACATTGTCGAATGGACACATCACTCCTTGAAAATCATGTAAATTATCTTCAGCCTTTTAAAGGTCAGCTATGCCTTTTGTTCATCTCCAAAACATTAACCCATGGGGCTGAAACATACTTATACAGTATTTTATACTCCAATTTACTCATACAGCACTTTGCATTCTGGTTTTAATATAGGCTTTGAGTAATAAATATATAAATAACTAAAAGTAACTAAATGGAAGGAAAATAATTAACTGTATTTCCTAACAGAAATATTTCAATGCCAATTTAATGCCACTATTTTCATGTCAAGAATCAAATCATCTTTTGGGACCAATATTGCTACAATAACACAGTATTTCAGTGTGTAGCATGGGAAAAACTATCAATCTACTCACCTTCAAAAGTTAACTACTGTTTTGCTTCATAACTACTTTTAGAATTTCCTAATCAATGAGAGGTCTTTCAAGGCTTTGGTCTGTTTTGCTCTTAGGGGGAGCTTTTCTTTTTTTTTTTTTCCTTTTTTTTTCTTTTTTTCTTTTTTCTTTTTTTTTCTTATTTCCTGTACATTTTTACTTCACATTATTACCCCCTGATTCCTTGTATGGACAAGAAAATAGAGTTCTAAAATAGGGAAAGTAATATTATAGGTATGACAGAAAATTATTTTAGTCCCTGTTCGTCTGAACATTAGAAACAGAATGATAATCACTTCAAAAACATAAAGCCACAAGGTCATTTCTGTGCTGTCCTTCTAGGTTTGCCTTCAATCTTTCCCATTCCCAGAGATAATTTCTGCTGTTCTGATGCCTCTGACTAGTACTTCCAGTGCCAGAAACGTAGTGTTGAGCATAGAAAAGTCGCATATGGGTCAGAAATGAGACTGTTGATATGAAGAGGGATTTACTATGACTAGGTGACAACCTGACGTTTTCACCTCTTTTTCAAAGAAAATAATTGTTTTGTTCTAGTTTTTCAGTCTCCATTTTGTCACAGTAGTAGCCCTCTGCATTCATAGCACTTTTATGTAAACCTGGGAGGAAAGGGCAGGCTTGGAACTTCAACCTTTTGATTAGAGATTTAAGCCCCATGAAAACGTCAGCCAACAGCAGCTGTTTGAAAATGAAGGGGACAGAAACAAAATTGTTTGGGGTGTGAGTATGAGGAGAAACAAGTGTATATTCATTGGTCCCTGCTGCTTCATTTTGTCAACTGGCAGTTTTCTTCAAGACCCTTTTAGGTCAATCCTTTAGGACACATCTAATCTCCCAGCTTCAGATCCTGACTACTCATATATCGAATGTCTGTGCCACTTTATCAGCCTTACAGCTATTGTAGTACAAAGGAGCCTTGAGAAAGGGCTGACACAAATGACTATTTTATTTCCTGTGAGCTTAATGATACCTAACATTTTTTCTCTGGCTTGGAAAATACCTCAATAGAGTTTTGCTAGAACCTCGAAGGTTTTGGTTTGTATTTTGAAACAACTCTTGATGAAATTAAAATGTAATTTTACAATGGAACTTGCTTTCACAGAGAATCAGAGTTTATATATCTGTGATTAAAATGAGACTGTGGAAATAAGAAAAAGCTAAGTCCTTTCTTAATAGAAGACTTTTATGGAGGATTACAAAACACATGTTGTTGTATTTGAAAAAGCCTTTATCTTAATTCCTCTATAACTTCTGAGTAGAGGATTGGTTCATCGTGTATACTAAGTTTGAATACTGTATGAAAATTGTTCACTGAGTTTCTGATACAAATTACTGTTTCTAATTTGGGTTGTATAATTGTATTTAACTTTTCCACATTTTTATACATTTACATAGCAAAGGGCTTGTAGAAGAACCTAGTTACAGGCTTTTTCAGATGTTTTTGTGGCTGTTATTTTTATGTGCTTTGCTATGCCAGAAGTGTGATGCGGTTTTGTACGTGAGGGTTATCAAAGAAGGTAGGTATTTGTTGTGAGACAGATATACATCTGCAAAAGGTTTTGTATAGTAAGCCCTAATTGTTTTACAATAAAGTTTAACCATTGTGTTATCATTTTGTCTAAAGTAAATATCTGTGTTTTTCCTGTAAATCTGGGATATAAACACTAAGAAATGTCTTTTAGGGTCTTGTTTTGGTTTGTTTTTTTCTTGTTTGCTTCTTTCTTTCTTTCTTTTGTTTGTTTGTTTTTAAATTTGGGGGAGGGAAAAAAATTGAAAATAATTGTTATTTGTTGCGACTTATGAAAATCATTTATGACTCCTTGAACTGTAGAAGAATAATATACTGTCCATTAAAAATACCCAAAAGTTGGAACATCGATGTAATTCTGAACGTTTTTAAATCTTTTAAAACCACTTTATAGCCAGTGGTATTAAAGTATCAAAAATGGTCAAGCAAAGTAGGTTTAAAAAATTAAAAGCTCTCTGTTCTTCCAAATTCTTCCATTTCTGAAATGGGCCCTTCTCATTTTATTTCATTATCTGCCTTCTGTATGAGACCAGAAGCACAAATGTCAAAATCATTTAAGATAAGCCTTTCTTGCAGATTTCTAGGTTTTAGAAAAGAGAAAAACATTGGCAGTCTTGCTGGGAAGACTATGCTTTTAAGGTTAATTGGCCAGATTTTTAGAATCAGGAGTCACAGTTCTCTTTTCTGTTTAGTTTGACATCTGTGTGTCTCTACCACCTTCAGTAGAATTATTTCTTGTCTTATATATCAGAGTTAATCCAACCTGATATAATAAGGCATTTTAGTGCCTAACTGTGGAGTACATATTCGCCGAGTCTTTTTAAATTTTGTTTATCATTACTTATCCAATATGAGAGTATTCATATATTTCATCATATCTTTCCTAACCTCATGTTTTGTTTTCTTTGCCTTTAGGGTGAACCTGGTTTGCCTGGCATAGCAGGAGAAAAGGGAGCAGCGGGGCTTAAGGTCAGTACTGAAAATGGATTAAAAACAGAAACACAGTATGTGAGTGCATATATAGATGACAGTCATGCTTTCCAACTTGGGTTTATATTCTGACTGGCTTTTAATGGTCTGCTCCTTCCAGTGATCAGTGCTGTAAGAGGCTTTGCACATTTCCCCATAAGGGAGCATATTCTTCTGCTGTGCATGTATAATCCCAGTCAGCAGCACTGACGCATATACATCCACTGCCAAGTGAATGCAATATGCCTGCAAGTGTTTGGGAATTTGGGGACCTTTTCGGAAGGGCTTTGTTTATGCCCCTTACAATGTGTTTCAGGCTTCTTTTCAAGAACTGCTGTGGTCAACTCTTTGACGAATGTCAGGGTTAAGTCTCGAGGGCTGATCCTGCTGTTATGGAAGTTAGCAACAAGCCTCATTAGGAGCATGTCTCAGCCTGTATTTGTTACATCAGTATGACTCTTTGCACTTATTTTATTGTTATATTATTTGTTCTGCTGTTTTAATATTGAACAAGTGAAATAGAACGTAAAGCTTACCATAACTTCATTGAAAAGAAAGCTCAACATGTCCAAGATGGTGAGATCTGTGGGCTTCTGTGTGCTAAATTCTAATCCCATCAGCTGCGAGTGTGTGTCTTTGGTGCACATGTGCTCCTCAGCTGATTCTGTGCATCATGCTGCTACTGACAGACATGCAAGGCAGCCTGTTTACATTTACTGACTCTCTGCTTGTCCGTCAGGAATGAAAACAAACCATTTGGGAGCATGACCTTTTCTTACTTTCTAACAGAAGCCAAATTATGGCAGTTGATGCTTAATTCGTAGTCGCAGCTGTAGTCTCTGAGTTGCCTAGCGACCACGAGCCTTCAGAAGGGGCAAATATGAGCCAGAGTGCAGCTCTGAGCCAGAAATGCAGAGATGAGTTGTCAGGGTCAGGCTGGTGTGCAAAAGTGCATTTGCAGTTTCTCAAGCACATTTTAATTTTGAAAAAAATAGTGGCTATAAGCCATCTTTTTGTTACATTGTTACAGAGAATGTAAGGAGCACTGAAGTCTCTTTACTCTGAAACAAAAGTAAGAATTAGTTTAAAATGGTTAAGACTTTCCCTTCACATTCAGACTTTGGGGTTTTCCTTTGTTCATTCCCAACATAAGGAAAACCAAATGTAGGAATTACCTACATCCTCACAGGCCACCTCTCGAAGACATACACCTGTTTGTCAGTGTTTAATCTGGGACAAAAGAGGAGGGAGGGAAGTTTTTACATGCAAATCATTAAGCTTTTAAAATTATGTTTAAGTTGTATTGTCCATTGAGGTCTATTACATTTACATATTCTATTGTTTATTGGAGATTTTTCTGTTGGATTTTATCATCTGAGGCATTGTCATCAGTAGTGACATAAGGGCTAGTAATTGACATACTAATGGTAGTAATACTAACACTTTAATTTTTCTTTGAGTTAGTAACTTATGACTTCTTTGCTTCAATTATTTTCATCAGGGTGACCCTGGAGAAAGAGGAGAAAAGGTGAGACATGTTCCCTTTCCTTTGTGGTGGTTCTGTTTTGCGTAACTGCTTGGAGAATTGCCAGTGCACTGACTCCAAGTTTAAAAAGAAAAAAACACAGCTAGTACCTAGAACTTGAGAGTCATTGAGCAGCCTTTAGAAGTGTCAGGCAATACCTACTAATGGAAGTTATTAATCTGTGATTACTGCAGTGGGATTAATCACAGAGAGCAGTGCGTTAAAAACTCATGTGTTAAAGGCTGCTGAGCTGAGCAACCATGCAACTAATCCTCACTATGGTTAGTCTCAGAAAATGATGAGCCTGTCTGAATAGAGATCCACACATTTCTCATAACTTGGTTTTAGTGCTCTGACATCTGTGTGGAATGAAATGATTAGGTAACAAGAGTGATAGCTACATAGACTCTGAATGATATCTGGGTAACCGGTTCTTCACACACTGAAAGTGCAATTCTCCATTCGTATTTGAATCAATTTAAGGAAGAGCAAGGGAATATGCCCCCATGATCTTAGACTGTAGACTGTCTGAAGAGGTACCAGCAGCACAAATGTTACACTGATTATGCTCTGACTTGCAGTGAGTTAGTGAGGAATTACTTCTCTGATGTCCACAGTCATGCCAAGACAAGACAAGGGGCTGGAACAAGCTCCATGCTGCAAAACAGGAGTATAATTCTGCTCTTCTGGGGAGGAGCATCCATGTACACACTGAGTTAGAGTGAGCTTCTGCATCTGTAGACAGGGGCAGATTGAGAATAAGGCATAATCCTTATTCTGAGTAGGAATCTGTACATGGCTTCATCTTCTTAAGTACATGGAGCCATGTTTTTTAAAAATAAGTTGCTTATATTGAGGTGCAATTTGCTCTTGAGAAATGTTTACCAATGTGTTTGCAGCTACAATTGAATTTCACTTCCAGATGTCTGTAAATCCAATTCATTTCACATTTTGAAAAGCATATAATAAAATAATCCAGGGAAATCTTGGAAGTCTATACCCCACATATAGAAGTATGTAACTGGGAATCTTTTTTCATGAAATAATTTCTTCTGTTACATTTGTTGAAGTGCTTCACTAATCCTATGTTTGTTTTCAGACACAAAAGGAATAACAATATACTGAATTTCTGTTACTTAAAATCATTGTATTTTTCCATAATTACCCTTTGTCTTTTCCTAAAAGTGTAATTACAAATGCCCTCAATGTGCTTTATCATGTCAAATGAACTTGGGATGACATTCCTAAGAGTTGCTGTTCTGTGTTTCATCGAGCCCTTAATTAAAGTGCTGCTAGATTGTTACCTAGTTCCCATTGTGTCAGTGACTGTGATATACAAATTGCTTTCTGTAATAAGTCTTTCTGAATGAAATTTCACATTAAGGTTTTTGGAACAATATGACAGATGCTAAATAAATACTGCTATTTGAATACCACTACTGGTTATCTGACCAAGAATAGGAATGTTTTTTTAGCCTACTTAGACTTAGTATTTATTAATATTTTTGGCATTTTAAATATTTCTTGCACTTCACGTGAACTTCAAGTCCCACAGGAGTTCTTGGCCTATAGTCTAACACACAACGTCGACTATTTGGTGTAGTCTGGACTTCTTATATGGCTATATGATTGTAAGTGGAAATTAGGTCTTTTTCTAGATAAATCTTTTGAAATTTTTCTTTAAAGAGTTGGGTTTTTTTAAAAGTAGAAAATGTCTACTCAACCATGAAAAAGTGTTATCTGAACATCACTTTTTTAACAAAAAGCAATGCATGGAATTTATGTAGAGATAACAGTCATTTTGGTAGCTCCTTGGAGGAGTGACATTCGGTGCATTTTTTTAGTTGGTGAATCATTTGAGAAGGACTTCAAACTCAGAGAGTATATACCATAAATTACTTGAGAATCCTGATAAAAAGTATTGGAATTGGGTAACTGTCATCTGAATTTTATTAGATGCATTTAGGTGAATGTCTCTGTGTTGAAAAAAAAAAAAGGATTGGCAATTTAAAATGCTGAATCATCATGAAATCATTAAATCATTCCTTCATTGCTAAACTGCAGTGAACTTAGAAAATTGGTAGATTATACTGACAGGTTGTTATTTGATAGTTTGATCGTGAAAGAGATCATGGTTGTAGTGAGGTCTGTATAAGACATAGACACTTCCTGACAATGTCACAAAGAGGCTGATTGCCTGGTTAACAAAATCAACTTGCTAATCATGTTGGAATGCTGACTCTTCTCTGCATGTTGTATGCTTACATAAAATCATTAAAATATAATATATATTTTGATTATAGGGGGACGCTGGAGAAAATGGACTGAAGGGTGACACGGGAGAAAAGGTACACTGCTTATTAGCAGAGAAGAAAATCTGTGCTTTAGGCATGCTTACAATATAATGAGCTAATGAAAATAATAATTTGATCAAAAGAAAAATGCATTTTAAGCTGATGGTTTTTTTAAAGATGAATGATTCGACTGAGTTCATTTTTATAAACAGATGAAAAATTGTCACTATTCTGTCCAACTAAGCATAAGATTTCTGACTTTAAACAGCAGTAGTTTAGTACAGAATACATCAGCATGTTTCTAACTCTTTGCTGAAATTTGCATCATACAGAAGCTTTGGTCACAGCCTGTCAGTTGGAATTAGGTCTGTTGAGTTGTTGCCATTTCTGATATACCCTTTAATTTTTCCCCTTCTGTGTTTCCCTCATAGAGAAGGGACCAAACGAATAAGTACAAAAATTATGGTATTGTGATAGGTAATTTCCCTCTAAAATTGGCTGCTGGACAATCAGGAGTTGAAGATAAAAACACACTTTAAATCTGTATCCCAAGTGACAGCAATAATAACCTCACTTGATACCCTGCTGGTTCATTGTTGCAAAGTACCAAGATGTTGTAGAAATCACTAAAGAATAGACTTTGTCAAAATTTTTATTTTCCTTAGTTGCATTTTAGCACATAGGAGACTTGTGCTGTATCACTGAAAAAAAAAAATTAACATGTATTTTCAATGTGGTTTGCTTAAACAAGTCATAGTCTTTAGCAGTCAGGGTAAAGCGTGTGTTGCACAGGAGAAAGGGTCAGACATATTGATCTATTCTGGCCATCACTTTTGAATTCATATGCTTCTAAAAACATTTACTGTAGTGACTGCACTTCGGCAGAAACATAGAAATTTTTTCTTGTACCCTCACATATGTAATGCTTAACCACCTCACATCAGTTCAGTACAAGGAGAAATTTATGATGGATTTATCAAACTGGTAAGGATTGCCTGCAAATCCCTCAGGACCTTTGGATGCAGTAAAACTACACTTTGAAGAGCACAAGGATTTTTTGGGGTATATTCTGAAGTCAGTAATTAAAAACAGACATCAGATTTAACAATAGTCAAGTTATTTGATTTTCGAACTTCATTTAAATAATACTTTATCTGCAGTCATGCTTATTAACCCAGATGAAAGTCTTAAGAATCTTACTTAGTTATACAGTGTATGCCAGTAACATAATCTTGATCCACTTTTATGTGGTTTAAGAATATAATCTGTTAGAAGTACGAGATTGTTGTTCAGGTAGGTAGTTCTGCAGCAAGTAAATGGGAAGTTAATAATCTCTCTGGGAAGCCTAGTGCTGCTTCACTTGTTGGTTTTCTACTTTATCAGCTCTGAGAGTGAACTTGCATCCACTAGAATGCCCATACTGCACTGTGATTAGCAGTGTGCACATCTCCCTGTTTCTGCCCAAGTATAAAGTTTTAAATATTTCTATGTGAACTTTCAGCAGTTTGGCAATCTAAGTGGGACCAACTTGTGGAAAATATAGATCATCATGAGACTTCTGATATTGCCATATCTGAAGAAATTTCAATAAACCTGTTGACCTTCATAATGCAGAAGTCTCCCATCTCTTCTGGGTTTCATATGAGTTTCAGAGGTGGAGTGGTGACATGGAAATATATTCTGTTTGTTTGGAGTGCATTGCTTTAACTATAACAGATTAGTATCCTCTGCATTAATTTTTGCAGGACTTTACAGAATTGTGACTTTGTTGATTTTCATTATTTTTCCTCCATTTTTCCTGCCTACAAGACAGTCTGCCACCCAGAAAAAAAAAAAATAAAACCAAACAAAACAAAACAGTTCTTATAGGAGAGCTGCAGCTTAAAGTTCCCGATAGACAACTCTGCAAACAGCACTTTCTAGAGAGCTTAGGAGGTGGGTTTTGACAGATAATTTAGGAGTAAGTATTAAACTTGGTGTCATTACAGTACACTTGAGCTACTTAACAGGGTTTGTATTCTTTCCTGTTCTTCAGCATAGGAGAAGGTTTTTGCTCTATGATCATTATGTGTAATTCAGCATGAGTTTGCCCAGAAATTGCTAATCATTTAAGTGGCAGAGGAAATCAGAATGACTGTTTCAGACACATTTAATAAATATGCTCAAGAAGTAGACTTGACTTTTTTCCTATATTTCTTTTTTATTTGTATTTTTGTCTGTATTATAAGACTTAATAAGACTCTTTTCAAAGTGCGTTTGTAAGAGAGCTGCTGGATGTATTCAGAGATGAGATAAGTCTGGTATCCACTCAGTTCTCAGGTGTTCAGCCACATACATGTACAGACCCTTCCTGCTCAGTAAACAGCATTAATTTTACATAAATAAATGCAGAGAACATTACAGTAGATCATAATGCTACACATATGCTTAAGAGATTTAATCCATAGTTCACAAAAATTAAAAGCATTTCTTTAAAGGCTTAATAATGTTTCTGTGAGATAAACACTAAGTTTTATTTATATGGTGAGAGAGAGAGATACCAGGTGACAACAGTTTCAGACTTGCTTTAGGAGCAGGTTCCTGTTTGTGCAATTAATGTAGTTTTGTTTTCTCAACCACTGTACCTAGTGACTCTCAGATATGTGGACTTGGGTGCTTTATTCTTGACCTGAGACTTTAGAATTAAAGTGTCTTTGTTGAATTGTCCTACTTTGAAGACAGTCTTAATGCCAAACTTGATTTCTGTATTCTTCCACTGTAGCCTTGGTCCTTAGAAACTACCAAATATATTCCTTCTTTTCACGTGTTCACCTGCTAAATTTTCTTCATTCATGGACTGTTTGACTTATCAGTGAATTGAGAACATGCTGTACTGTAATTTTTTCTTTAATCTGATACTAATTTTTATTCTTGCATGAAGATGTCTTGTAACCATTTTGTGTCTTATCTTCTCTCTATCCATCATTACCCTTTAAAATGTTTAACTGGCTAATGTGTCTTACCAGTTGCTTTGCCACTTCATAGCTATAAAAAGTCCTTGAGGCTTCCAGTTGTACATGCTTGTAAGGGATATTAGCAGTATCACTCATACGTGTCTATCAAAATGAGGCAGCTCAGGTTTCCATGCATGTATCAGCCCTTCATAATACTGATTTTTGTGTTTTCTTCACACAAGAGCAAGCTGCAGTAGCTGTTACTCCTGTTCTTTAAAGGATAATGAGCACGTAAACTGGTACAGTTTAATTTTGTAAGATAATACCAAAGAGACTCCATACCCAAACCAACTTTAAAGCAGCGGCATTTACAGAATGCTTCCTGCAGCTTCACTGAAACATCAGGAATGGGTATCCCTATTTGTATTTTAGCACAGAGAATATTAAGCATTTATATTTTGCTTATGCATCTTCAAAGTACATTACAGTACTGACTTCTATTCTACCTATGTAAATCACTAGCAGGCTGTGGGGGAGCTTGATATTTCTGCTATGTAGCAACTTGTTACTTCCAGCAAATGATGTACATTTATTTTGAATAAGGAAACAATTTTTCAAATTTATTTTCAAATATATAGTACTCTAGCCATCTTCAGTAGTATATAGTTTGACTAGAAAACCTATCAGTATTTTTTTTCTTTTTTCTTCAACGTGTTGTTTAAGGAAAAGAAAACAACTAATTGAGTGTACAAGAATTTTAAGTATCCTGTGACAATTGTAGAAAACTGGAAGCTAAAAGCTTCCTTGGCCCAGTCACTCACTGATCCTCTGTCCTTGTACTTATCACTGCCTATCAAATCCAGTCAATTCAGTGAAACACAGGCAAATCTTTTTGAATTCTAAATGCCTCCTCAGAACAGAGACCTTTCTTGAATATGTAAATTACCATAGCTAGCTCATCCTGTAAGGTATAACACATCACTGCATTGATCTATCAGTTTAAATATATTTCCTCAGCTAAAGTGCTGAGGAAATAGAGCTATGACCAGCCCTGATGGAGATAAACTCATAAGTCACTGGGGCTTTTTTTGAAGGTGAGTCTTCATTAGCACAAAAAATTTTGTCAGTTGAGACCTGACACTTGCCATCTGTAGAATTAGGTCAAAATCATTGCTCATATTCTTTGCAAATAGCAGTAAATTATTTTTAATGTAGATCAGCAATTTAGAGATGTCAAAGTGTGTCCCTTCTTCTGGCTTTGTGAAGTGCATTTATACAAAATCTGCAATTACTATGTCTACATTATTAGTTGTAAAATTTGAGGTTAACTGCTACACTGTTTGGGTGAGTGAAACTAAATCTCTCTGCATGATCTTGACAACAATACTGTTCCTTTTCTGAGTCACACTGATTGAATTCATTAGTTAAATTCCTGTGTAGCCGCATGAAGAACAGGCAATCTTGCTGTATAGTTATTTTACTGTATAATGTTGCTGTAGTCTTACATGATTTGTTATAAGTGTTTCCTGGAAAACTGTATATGTAATAAGTGTGATTATTTCTTGTGGATTTTGTATCAGGGTGACCCTGGTTCTTCTGCTGCAGGAATCAAGGTATGTGCTTTTAAAGCAGTTGTGAAGGTAGAAGAGGGGTGGTTGGTCCATGTTACTTTGCAGTGTCACAGACACTGTGGATATCATTAATGTTATGGTTTTCTACATCTTTATCTTTAATTCATTTATTCAGATCTCATCTTTCATCTGTTTCCTTTAGGGTGAACCTGGTGAATCTGGACGGCCTGGACAAAAGGTATTACTTGGAATTGTTCAGTTTTCCTTTTCTGTTGGATTTGTGATAAACGATGTTACATCAATGTTACCCCTGGCCCCTGTACTCAGATTAGCCCAAGGCTGTACAGTTTAGCTGACCAAGGCCTGTACATATTTGGTGTATGTTCATTTTGTATTTTAAAAAAGCACAGGAATGATGATACTAATTAACATGAAAAGTGATATTAGACTAACCCACCTTCCCTTCTAGCCACAGCACACTTCTTGTATTGAAAACCTATGCAGTTGCAGCTGGCGAGACTAACAAAGAATGGCTCTGTTCCTTCAGTGATCACAAGCTAACCCTGCATGTTTGACTGACTATTAACCTTCAGACTATGGTACATTATTACATCTCATTAGGAGGAAAATAAGTATTGACTAGAATCTTTTTTCACATGTACCTGTTAGGGAACAAAATAAGGATTGGCAAGAATCCCTTTCATATATTCCTGTAAGGGGAATCAAACTGTCGGAGGCATGTGGTATGTTTGGAAGGACATAGACCAGGTAATGCTGCTCTGTTCTTCCTTCCAGGGGAAGAAATACCCCTGGGTGCTGTGTGGCTGAGGCTGCTTCTGCAAGTAAAGGTTCTGCAGGAGTTCTAATGACTCTGTGCTGCATGAGGCCATCTGAAGCTGGGGAATTTGCTCTTTGAATCCATAGTACATCAAACAGTAAATGCTGTGCATTCAGCTCCCTTTCATGAGAGTAGGAGGCAGGTCCTGCAGGGAGAACAAAGACACAATGAGAAAACCAGATTTTTTGAATTGCAATATTTGGTTTCCCTTGAGAGCCATTGGTACCATTCTTACCTCTTACAATATTGAAAATTAACCACTGCTGCCAGAGTGGAGCAGAGTCCAACTGCAAGTTCAGGTAGCAGATATTCCAGACAGACAATCAAGAACTAAAATTCTATATAATGGATGGCAGTACAACCGTTTTCTAATACTCGAGGTCTTTTGGTGACTAAGCAAAACCCCAAACCACATATAAATAAGAAATAAATAAGAAATTAAGTCTTTTTGTTTGAAAATTATAACTGTCATCAATTATAGGATACTAAACAAAGACTATTATGGTTGCAAACGCAGTTCTTTAGTAAAATACAGTTTTAATTAGGAGAGGTAATCAAAGTTGTTTAAAGCTGTCTAATCTACGGAGTCATTTAGTGTGTGCATTCTGCATTGCATGCTTTGCTTGGGTAATAAACCAGAAAATGCACTTAAGAGCCTGTGGAGATTCATACTGTCATTAGGTGGCTGCCATGGAGGCAAAACTAGCAGTGATTTATCAGCAGGCTCCTCGATCTCAGTCCCCGGGCACTCAGGTTTGATCTCATTTAGGCAGCATGGATGAGCGAGGGGTACGCAGCTTCTTGTTCACACCAGGGGGGACTTAGTGTGTTCTTTCCATTCACATCATAAGCTTCCACAATGCCATGTTCATGTCCCAGCCCAAACCAGCAGCTCCTATAATGCGCTCATGCAGCGTACCTCCTCCAGACAGATGCCCCACGTCTGCTGCTCTGCACACCTGCTTAGCAGGGGTTACCCCACCAGAGATTGGGGGGGGGCTCTTTTTCCAACTAGAGGCGTGTCTCTGCCATCTATGTCATCTGAATACTTTTCCCTCTTCCTGAATACTTGTCCCATTCCTATTTCCTTCCTGTATCTTCTTTTCTTCCTCTCCTTCTAGTTGTTCCTTATCCATCTTCTAAGGACAGATATATATTGAGCTGCCCACCTGAATATTATTTACATGAAATGAAATGAAATGAGACAGTATTTTGGCAATCTGACAAGGCTGCTTTGTGCCATATTGTGTGATTGTGTGCAGAGGTGATAGGATGACCTGCAGTGCCAAGCTGAGCATTATGAAATAGAGTTTGTATACAGCTTTGGTTTCTTTAAAAATAATTCTTCCCATAAATTGTACTCAGATTTTAGGAAGAGTCCAGAAAAGAAAATATTATACATTCATCTACAATACCATTTGTAGTTAAGAAATAGTGATTTATTTAATTGTGTTTCACATTGTTTAATGTATCTTTGAGGGACATTTTAATTGTTTTAGATTGTGACTCTGAACTGGCTTTGCTGGATTCCTTCTGCTTGTTATGTGTGAGTCTGTCAGGCTTACCTCTGTCCCAAGACTAAATAGTGACCTACGACAGCAATACTGCTATATTATCAGTTATAAATATTCAAATGCTGTGCTTAGAAGTGAAAAACAGTGTCTCCACAATTAGATGAGAAAAGTTCATGGTTGTAGTTTTGTATGTATGGCCATGCAAGAAATGTTTGGAGTTAACATTTTGTTAGTGCAATAGAGGCCTTTTAAAGGATTATTCTTTTGCAAGAGTGATAACCCATTTTCTGCTTTAGAAAGTGTTAGTGAACATACCAAAAAATATTAGTGTCTGTTGAAAATGGCATCCTAGCCTCTGTTCTTCTATCTGATTTTATAGTTAATATTTTGAGACTGGAATCTTTCCTGTGCTTTTAGGCAATTTGAACAGTTAGAATTTTGGAGAAACTAAAATGCACAAAGATGCTGTTATCAGATCCTTCTGTACCACTTGAAAATCACTCCATTTGGTAAAGTGATTTACAACCTGTCTATTGTGTCTTTCAGTTTGTGGCAGAATGTAATTTTGTTATGAGCATTTCAAGTCTATTCAATATTACTGCCTCAAAGAAGTGTTTTTGGGTACAGTAGTTTGATGAACATCTATCTTATGTATACATGTGTTTATGTTTGTGTATGTGTACATGTGTTTATGTGAGTGTAGGAATGTATGTAAGCATGTGTTTACACAGACATGTAAGATATTTTAATAGCACAATGTGTATGAATCAGCCCAAACCACAGAGTTGAAATCTGTATTTCTATAAAGCTCAGGAGTGTACAAAATCTGGGATATAGTTCAGTTCATTACAAAGGTAAAAGTTGGCTTCAGAGTTCAAACCTAAGCTTCCAGAAAGTTCAGGGAATATTCAGATCCAAAGTGCTGGTTAGAATCCACCTCTGTATTAAAATAAAATCTCCAACCTTTAAAATAATGATTTCTTCACATGTTATTGCTCTTTTTTTCCTCTTCATCATCTTTATTTCCCTGGACAACATTTTTCCATTTAGCTGATATCTCAAAATGACCATTTGTGAGAATGTTGTCATTCTTGTCTTAGACTAATTTCAACTTAATTTCAAAATTAATACATTCAGTTTTGAATACCTGTTAAAAAACTACCCTTGCAAATGCAGTTCTGTAGGTCTTTTAATTGCAATTTTAAATAAGCAAGGCTTTTCTGGGTAAAGCAGTAAAAGGTTACACTCACACTGTCCTTCATGGCACCATGTATATTCATAGATAAATAGCAAGCTCTGAAATGATGTTATGGATAGCTCCATAAAATTGATGGCCCAGTTATAATTATGCAGTCCTGCTTGAATCGTGCAATTTAAACTAAGCTCTTCTGAATTGCTTTGTAGCTAAATCAGGCAGTTACACAGCACAATATCTAGCTCAGAGTTGGGAATGGAACAGAATTAAACATCTGTCGTAAGTATGGAACTTAAATGACAGTGTGTAGAATGAACCAGTGCTGCTTGTTTTCTTCCCTTTTGCTGAAGGCTAAGGAGAATTCATATTTGGCTTTCCTGACATGAATTTTCAGTCTGGGTGTCATCTTCAAATTCAAGGTTCCCAGAAGATACCTAAGTTCTTAACACAACTCCTACTCATTGTACATTTAAGACAGTCAGATATTTTGAAAATATCGGTCCTGCTGGAGCTGACCAGCAGTCATTCGTGCTCTTTTATCTTCCTGCACAATTTACAGGGGTGTTCGCTGGATAGTGACCATAACTGAATAATGTCTGTAATATTATGTAATTTTCCCATGTAGGGTGAACCAGGTCTTCCTGGGCTTCCTGGACTCCCTGGAATAAAGGTAAATAAACTTTGTATCTGTTGTATTGGGGGGACATCACAAAGAGGGCAAACTGCAAGAATTTGGCTCAAATGGACTTGCTGTGCTTGTCTTACATCTTCTGAGTCTCTGGTATTAAACTAGGGGTTGGCATGGAAATGTTTCACATGGAAAATTGATTAAGTGTCTATGAGTAGGCAAACAGTGTATCTTACATTATAATGTGAGTAGAACATTGCATTCTAGGTTTGGGGTTTTTTTTAAATCTAAAATAGTAGAGGGTTTTATTTTTTTTTTTTTTATTTAATGGAAGAGTCTTGTCATCAGAGTTTTATTTGGTTTCCACTTTGATGTGTGCTTTCCAGTAGCAATAGTCTACTGAATTTACCAAGCCTCCAGCCAGAGAACTGCATTAATTATACACAGGATGTGGAGAACTGGTTCTGTCAACAAAAATACGCTGTGCTCCATTACACAGCAGTGATTTCCACTGACAAGTCAAAATGTTTTAGTAAGACTCTTGTCAGTATAAGGTACAGTCCCTGACCCAGTACCTGGTTTAGTCTCTGGCTTCCAGTTTGTCTGGAATCTTTAGGCAAGTTGATTCAAAAGACACGTGGTTGGTTGAGTTCTACGTAGTTGCATTGGGAATTGCAGACACTTGCGCAGTTTGAGCTGTGACTGTATAATTCTGCACAGAGCAAGTGAATTCACATATCCTGAGTGAGTACAGATTAGAATGATCGCTTTTCCTTCGTGGAAAAGACTGTTCTTTCAGAAAACAAAATCTTTGCATTCCAGCATGGGCCTGTGTATACCTCGAGGAGATAGCTTTTATAATTTCTCCCTCCTGTAACAAGGAGGATAAGTCAGAGACTAAATTCTTGTCCATCGTGGTAGGATTCAGGATTTATGTAATGGAATGTAATATTTGCAGCGGTTTTCTTAAGGGACCTGTGAATTGCCACAGCATTGAAGCATAATGTCCCTTCTGTGTTCCTAATGAATTATGGGAAGAATTGAATGTGCATATTAGAGTCTGTGTGTTGTAGCAGCTGAAAATACAGTTCCCAGGGAGGTTGTTCGTTTTCTGCAATACTGAATCCTATACTGACTAGTGAAGATCATGTAAGAAGAGAGTCTTGTGTGGTTAAACTATTTTTACAAGGACCTTTGGCAGCAATCCCTATTCTATTTACTTTAACTGTGAGCAAAGAGTAGCTCAGTTGAAGGTCATTGGGGCACTTGCCTGGGGCACTCATCCTGGGAACAGATGCCAAAAGCAAGTGGAGTTGTGGCTGGTCTTTGGGGTTTCCATCTTCATGCAGACCTTGCATGTCCATGAATTTAACCAATAAATAAAAAAGTCTACATCTGAGCGTCTGCTCTGGGAAAATTATTTGTTGGCAGTAAGGCTGGCTCAGAGGGGCAGCTTTTGAAATCACCTGAAAGGCAAAAAGTGAAGTGAAAAATGGATGAAGGGTGGGATTTTTGCCCAGTGAAACTTGTTTCCGAATTCAGTGGGTACAGTGGAAAAACAGTGCAGTTGCCTGCAGAGTAAAATGGAATCACTTGGTCAAATATTAATCATTTAGGGAAGTGCAGTCTTCTATTTAAAATCTAGTCCAGAGGGAGACTGGTGGTGTTTCAGTACAGAAATTTCATCTAGTGCAATTCTGCGTTGAGGTGGCTGTCTGCGCCAGAGATGGTGACAAGCAAACTAGTAGAATGTGCATAGGAGAGAGCAAAGCACATCTGGTCACATCAGGCTTACAGGATGGGTGTTGTTCGATTCAAGGCATTCAACTCTATGTAATTAAGCAGTCTGTAGAAAAAAACCTGGATTTTTCTGTCACTGAAAGATATGTCTGTGGCATGATAAGAAGTAGCAGAAACCAGAGAATGGCTGGAGTTAAGACAATGGACAATCCTCAGCAAAGAAAAAGTAGTATTTGCCCCCTTTTCTCACCCTCTGTTTTAACTAAGATTTATGTCCCACCATGGGAAAATCATCACATCAATTTCCAAAAACAACATCAGCATTATCTTGTGGAGAAACAAAGTTCCGGGGAACTGGTGTTGATTGAAAGTTTCTTTGAAATAGCAGTGACAGGATGAGAAATTTGAACATGGAGGAAACCCAATTGTCTGGATTTGCAATCACTTGGTGCCATCATGTTGTTACCACACAAAACAGAGAGGAATCCTATTTGTAGCAGTGACTTCCTTATGGTCTTTTTTCTTTTCCTTTTTTTCTCTTTTTTTTTTCTGTTTTTCTTTTTTTCCTCTCTCTTTTTTTTCCCCCTGATCGATCTTTGTTGTTGATTACAGTATTTTCAAAGATTTCTCAGGACTTTATAAAACTCTCCAAGATAATGTCTTTGCTATTCTCTTAATAGTGATATGCAGTGATGGTATGTGTAATGCGAAAGAAATAGTACAAACCTCTCACAATGTTGTTACGACATCTAGGAACTTGTCACAATATGTAAGTTTCCATACAGGAAGTTTTCCCTAGCAAACGGATGACAACATTCTTGTGAATTTGCGTGCCAGCCCAGTAGCTCTTGGCAGAGATTTTTCAGACTGTTTCCAAACTTTGTGAGAGGTAAAGAAAAGTAGATCAAGATACAGGAATATTCTACACACAGAAGATTCCTGGATGTAGTTCTTAAATGTTAAATAGTAAGTTCCCTTTTCTTTAAATCTCTTAGTTGAACTGAAATTTGCTGCCTTGTGAATTAATCTCTGTGGTAGCAGAGCGTATTATGAAATGTTTTAGGTAACTGTAAACATACATAGCACTCTTTACACATGCTAAACCAACCTATGAAAACACAAATGCCATGCCAGGCAATGGACCATATCTGTCCAGCTACATCTCATCTTTCTTCTTATGGTTGAAGAAGCTTCCCAAGACATTCAGTCCAGTGTGCTTGAACATACATAAAGGATTAATAGGTACTAATCACTGAGAAAGTTTCAGCTTCTTGTAATGCCATTTCAATTAATTAATCAATGTTTCTGGGAACCTGTTAGGACTTGGTTGAATGTGATACTGGAGTCTGAATGAACAGCAACATTGGATGGACATGCAAGTATCATATCTGAATGCAGAGTATGCAGCAGGGTCTTTTATTACTTACTTTTCTAGACCCATTCACTATGCACATGCGGATGTTTTGAGAGTTCTTCCTGTTCCTTTTTGATCTCTCCTTGTCAGTTGGTGCCATGGAGGAAACATAAGTGCAGTTAGTTGTCTCCAAGACAGTGAAGAAGCTGTCTATGACAGACTGGAGAAACGTTACTCAAGCACCTGTTGCTGTTTAGGAATGGCTGGAAACTTAATGAGCCCCTGAATGTGTTCCACCCTGTCACTTGGGAAGCAAGTAAGGCACCTAAACACAGAATATTAACTCATCGCTCTGCTATCCCCGAACTGATGCCAAGCAGACACAGAAGCCTGTCTGTGAAACACAAACTTCATATATCTGTTTTATCTCATAACTTTTGTGGGAAGATACTTACAAAGCAGCACTTGCTTACTGTAATGTAATGCATACCCTTATTCATTCTAATGTCAGACATCTCTCAAATCCATTGCATTGCATTTTCTGGAATTTAGGCTGTACAGTTCTCAACCTCTTCACTGAGTGAGAAGCCTTCACAGAACACAAGCCTCTTCTCAGTAGCAACACTTTATGCAAGATCTAGATTTTCAGTGACATTCCTGGCATTTGTCCGTCAGTTTTTAAAACAGATACTGAACCAAAGCTTATGAGTGCATATAAATTTTTATTTTATCCTGTTCAAGCAAACAGAACTGCTGAATGATTTGACATGAGAAAAGACAGGCTTCTTAGCCCTTCTGCTTTTGAGAGGTAGGGAAAGCTCTCTGTATTCAATAGACTTGCCAGTATGCAACATCTTTTATCTTTCTGTACAATTACTTTGGGTTGAATTCCCTGGGGCTGTGCTTGAGCAAGGTTTCAGAAGAACCTGGATAGGGATATGGGAATTTGAATCAAGTTTATGTCCTTTTTCTTTTTGTGAGAGCAAAAACAGTTTTAATTTTCTTCTGTGTTAAATTTCTTTTTTTTTTCTGTACCTACTCAGAGATCTTACCCTGTGACTTTCAATTCCATGCAAAGGCTGAAAACCTCTCTACTCCACAGAAATTATTTTTTAAACTCTCGAAGAGTTATTACTACTTTCACCTAGTTAGTCCTGTTACAAAAGAGAACTTTCAGAGAAAATGAGAGACACAATTTTCTAGCTGGATGCACAGAAATTAATGTCCTGTTTAAACTCTTGTAGAAAAGAGAGCAACTTGTTGAAGCTTTTGTGTTTAGATATTACTCTTATAATCTGGCAACAAAATTAAAGGAAATCTGAAGTAAATGGTAGCTCTAAGCATTTCATTTTGGAGTCAATGCCATTCACCACCTACAGGAAAGCTCTGCAAATTCCCCTTTCCTTGCAGGAGTTCTTAGGAAGGCTGTGCACATTTACCTAATGCATTTTTTTTTTTGATATTTCCATTCTTCTTCCTGTTTTTCTTCCTTGTCAGTCACTGTTAACAGGAAACCTACAGGGCCTGTCTCTCTCTCCATTTTCTCCAGTACTCAGATATTCTTGCCCATGCTTCAGTTCATTTTTATCCAATAGGTCCCCATATTCAGAATTCTTTCTAGCCTGGACTCAGGAGCTGGAAAGGACCAGCTGACTTTGTGACAGGCACCTCCAAATCCTGAATACAGAGGTGTGCTGAACACATTAACTGCAGCAATTGGAATTTGAGGGAATTAATTTCTCTCTGATATGCACTTGCCTTAGCTGATATATATATATATATATATATATATGGAAATATTAAAGTGTGAATGAATTTCCAACCTTTCATTACTCACATACAGTGTTCTTGAAAGCGGGTCATCTGCCTGAGCAGAGGGAAATGCGTAGTGTAGTATAGGTTAAATACTGAGTAGTAAACTACAAGAATGCATGTTTTGGGTGCAAAT